TTTAGATTTTCTGTTGCCTCGGTGAAAATGCCACAGTGTGTGGCATACTGTTGTACTGTGATTTCCTTGTTTGTAAATACAGTACACAACAAAGGAATAAATAACAAACACTTTTGAGACAGTCCAGTGTCCTACAATTTACTGACATTTGATGGTTCTGGTGGAGCTACGCTCAAAGAAATGCCAAAATAAATTCTGTAGGGGGGCTATAGAATTTATTTTGTGATTTCCTCGCTTGATTTTCTGTTTTGATGCATTATTTTCAATTTTCGTAGTTTCATTGAAAGAATCGTTAATTTACGTTTTTCAGAGGCGGTCATGAACGAGTCGAACAGAAGGAGCGTAGCGCCATCTAGTGGATGCATTGTAGATCGCGTCTTATAATGCGGCACGTCCAATATATGAATAAAATTACAAAATAGGCCATTCATTGAAGGTGCACCTCATAATCCAGTGCGCCTTTTAGTGCGGAAAATACGGTATATTATTTCATGTTTCTGGAATAGGATAAAATAAGGATGCGTAATTACCGCGGTCAAAGAATTCATCGTTTTTCTCCTCTGGCTGTCCTTCAAAACAGATTAATAACGTTCTCGAATCACACGGTGCGGAAGCCGCAGCTTCGGCACAGCGTACATCGTATCAAAACATCGGCTTTATTGTTGGACTGCAGAATTGCAGAGTTTAATCAATACTCATTTTTATTAAAATTGAATAAAATGTAGCATCGCATCGCCATGATTCGTAACATGAATAAACATAACCCATGTACAAATGTGCAACTGCAAATGTCAGTGATTTTAACAAGATTGTGTTCTTGCTCTGCACTTGTTTACAGATCCTTTCCCATCGTTTTTGTTTTTTTTTTGTTATGTTTTTGTATAAGGTGGGAAATAATTGCAAAATATCATTCTTGTTTCTTTTCTAGCCTTGTGGTATGTTTATAAGCATCATCATGATGTGAGTTGTAGGTGGCAACTTTTTCCCCTCATACATTTATCTCGATTATTGGAAAGATTCTCGGAAGGGGTAGAAATGGCTGAATCCTTTTCCAAAGTTTATGTAGATGACATAGGAGCTTACACTCTGTGGGATACAAGGAATTACAGGCATGTGTTTGTTTCAAACACACATACACACACACACACACACACACACACACACACACGCACATGCACACAAAGACATATGAACATAAAAGAATTCAACCAAAGGTCGTTTCTGACAGCAATAAACAACTGTCCCACCACAAGCTCTGCTTCTGATTTTGAATACAAAACATTTTGATTTGTACTTGAGCTTTTTTTTTTTTTTAATTCGTTTGATTTACATTCATTTCCAGCTCAAATACAAATGTCAAGCTGGCAGAAAAAGATTGCATCTGTAGAGGAAAACTAAACATTGGTGAGTTATGCTTCTGCTGTGGTATGTAAATGCAGTCAGAACGGAAATAAATAGCATGTGAAAGATCATCATATTCTGATAGGGGTCATTCTTCTTCCATTCAAACATTTTTGTTCCACTGACTAAAACGTAAAAACGTAGGCGGGAAATGGTTTTAAACTTTCTGTGCCTCCCGAGATAAAATCATATTCACATTCCATATGAATTATGAATATGTTTGGAACGGAGTGATCAACTTAAGTTAATAATTTGTCTCAATGGAAAAGTCTCTTCTGTGACCCTTTTAATCATCTTAAGTCATTACTTAATCAGAAGATGATAGAAAGGTACAGGATGCATGGTGCCCTGAGGAAACAAACGAAATGGGGGTTCTTGGAGATGTGTGATGGATTATCTCTGACTGTATCTAGTGCAAGCGTCTTATGTGGATATTGGTTGCCCTCTAGCTGCCAACACTGAGAAGTTGGAGTTCAACACGCAGTTCAAAATGGTAAGCCCGGTGTAGTGTGTTAGTCACTTTGTAGTGTTTGGACCAAGAAATAAACGACAATAGTCTGACTGGAGGCATTGTTTGAATATACTACAAAGAATGGTAAGGTTGAATTTGATGAGTGGGAAACATCAGAGATAGGCTGATAGAGTGCATTTGCTCTGTAATTGCATTCATAACTTCCTCGAATACTAAACAGTTACTACTACTAATCATCTATCTATCCATACATTTTCTGATCCGTTTATCCTCGCAAGGGTGGTGGGCATCCTGGAGCCTATCCCAGGTGTCTTCGGACAGTAGGCGGGAGAAACCCTGAACACCAAACAATCGCAGGGCACACAAAGACAAACAACAACCATCCACAGTCACACGTTCAACCTATCATGCATGTTTTTTTAGACTGTGGAGGAAACCGGAGTACCTGGAGAAAACCCACTCAGGCATGGGGGGTGAACATGCAAACTCCACACAGGAAGGCCGGAGCTAGAACCGAACCCGGTACCTCTGCATTGTGAGGCCGACGCGCTAACCAGACGGCTGCCCATTTCAAATCATCAATTTCTTTATTGATTTCATTCCTTGTAATAGTTTTACTTGTCCATCACAGGGAACTAAGACGCTATAATGGAGGAGAAAAAAAAAAAAAACAGAAGAGCAAACTGCAGAAGTTATAACTTTTAGAAACCAAACTGGCAAATGGTATCATTTCTCAACGTTTGAATGAAACGATGTGCACATGACATCTTCTGGAAGGCAAAGGTCTGATGTGGACATTTCACACAAGTATAAACACGTAACGCTTCATTGTAGAAGTTCCCAACCCCGAACACGAGAAGTATTTTTTTAACGTATCTTTATTTACATTTTTAACAGTAAAGGCTGAAATGTAACCTTGTTTCCAAGGAATGGAGTTTTCCGTGTTACAGGAGTTTAACGGTGCACTGGTTTCTTTATAGCTGTCAAATATAATTTAGCTTGAGTTGATTCACTGAAAGCGTTGTTTATCAGGCACCTAGCAACGCTGTTTTGAATGAAAATTGCCTGTTTAAAAGGCTCGGAAAACTATGCCATGAGCCAAATGCCTTTCAGGTCCAGGTTTGCTTCAGCAAACATTCTCGTGCTGTAAGCCATGCTAAAAATCTAAAGTGGCATCAGTTAAGCAAGTGTACAGAGTTTTCCGCTGACATTCTTCCATGTCAGGGCATACAGTTTCGATGGAAGTGATGTGAAAGTTGTTCTCACAGGGCAAGCTGTGTGTGAGAAGCTTTATGGCCGCGGCTTAAATTGGCAATGTGGCTCAAAATAGCCAATTGCGATTAATTGCAGGAAATAGCTCTGAGATGGTTTGATGTTTGCATGCATCTGTATTATTCATCAAGAGAGCCTATTAGCGGAGCAATATCTCGCCTTCTCATGCGTGTCAGCTTAAACAAGTGCAAATTTTACTCCAGGAATGGGCACAGGGTGTGTTCTTGGGGTGCTTTAGAGGCCAAGTGTAAGCACATATGAGAAGGCAATTAGAGATAATGCCATTTTACACACAGTTACCTATTTTTTTCCGTGAGAAAGAGTCAAACAAGTGCAATAATAAGAGCCAGAAGCTATTGAAAGCATTCCAAAAACTTATTTATTTTTCTCAAGCATCCCTCCCACACCCCACCCGACTTCCAGATGAACCATGGCATGGAGTTGACTGTTTTTTTTTTCAACATGATCTTTGGTCCCAGTGTCCTCCCCTCTCTCTGCACCGTTAGATTTTCTTTTACCTTAAATTCCCCTCACACTCACTCTGTCTTACATAAATCTCTCTATCGCTCTCTCTCTCTCTCTCTCTCTCTCTCACACTCGCCCGTTCATCTCTATCTCA